CTTCCCCCCCCCCCCCCCGTGCAGCTGGTGTATGTGAATGACCTGCTGTCCAGCGGCGACATCCCCGACCTGTTTGCCCCCGAGGACCGAGAGGACGTCATCGCAGCCATGCGCAGCGAGGTCAAGGCGCGCGGCCTGCCAGACACCAACGACAACTGCTGGCGCGTCTTCATCCAGCGGGTGAGGGGCTGGGCTGGGTGTGGGAAGGCCGCCTGGCTGGGCTGGTGGCGTGGGCCGGATGCTGCTGCTGCTCCGAGCACCACCTGCTGTCCTTTTGTCCCTGATCTCGGCAGCGGCGCCGTCTCTTCTGTCTCTGTCTGGCTGCCTGCGTGCCCTTTGTTCCGGTCCCGCCACCCAGACACCTGCCCCTCCTGCAGGTCGTCAAGAACCTGCACGTCTGCTTCACCTGCTCCCCCGTGGGTGACGCCTTCCGCGTCCGCTCCCAGCGCTTCCTGGCCACAGTCAACTCCACCACCATCGACTGGTTCCACCCCTGGTGAGAGAGGCCCGACAACACGCCTGGCAGCCTTGCAGGAAAGCGACAGGCACCTGGGGCTGCTCCCGGCACTGTTGGGCCACCTGCACACCGGCAATTACCGCCGCTTCGCGATGTGCGCAGGCCCGAGGCCTCGCTGCTGTCTGTGGCCCGCAAGAACCTGGAGGACCTTGAGGTGGAGAGCGAGGATGTGCGCAAGGCGGTGGTGGAGTTCATGCCCGCCTCCTTTGCGGCGGTGGGCGCCATGGCCAAGCAGTACCTGCGGGCGGAGCGCAGGTGGGGGCCCTGGTGCTGTGACCCCGTAGAGCCGCTTGCTCCCAGCACCTTCCCGCGGTGCTGCCGTTGGGGTGACCTGATTCTGACGACGCGGATGGCCGGGTTGTGCCCCGGCGTCCTGCCCTGGCCACAGGCGTGTCTACTCGACTCCCAAGACTTTCCTGGAGCTCATCAAGCTGTACCGCAGCCTGCTGGTGAGCTCCCGCGCCTGCTGGCAGCTTTTAAGCCCCAGGCCATGCAGAGATGTGCCGGTGCAGCGCGTCGACCTGCCCTCCCTGCCCTGCTGCGTGTGCTATGCAGGCCGCCAAGCGCCAGGCGGTGCAGGCCAGCACGGAGCGGCTGCAGGTGGGGCTGGCCAAGCTGACCAAGACCCAGAAGGATGTGGATGTGCTGGTGGAGCAGGCGCGGGTGATGGCGGTGGAGGTGGAGCAGAAGGTGGCGGCCGCCTCACGCTTTGCCGAGGAGGTGGGGGTGGAGAAGGAGAAGGTGAATGCGGAGAACGCGGCGGCCCAGGTGGAGGCGGACGCGTGCGCCACCATCGCGAGGGAGGTGACGGAGCTGCAGGCGCGGTGCGAGAGCGAGCTGGCGGCGGCGGAGCCGCTGGTGGCGCAGGCACAGGAGGCGCTGGACACGCTGACCAAGAAAGATCTGGGTGGGTGGGGATGCAGCGCCCAGCCAGCTGAGGCCCGCAGCTTGGGGGGCCTTGCAACGTGCACCCTGCAGCAAGCCAGATGCCCAGCAGCCGGTGTCAGCGCTTGGCTGAGGTGCTGGGGTGGGCCTGGCTGCAGGGGAGCTCAAGGCGCTGCGCAACCCGCCTGCCGGCGTGGACGACATCACGGCGGTGGTGCTGTGCCTGCTGGAGAATGTGCCCAAGGACAGGAGCTGGGGCGCCGCATGTGAGCTTCGGATGCTGTGATGCGACTCCAGCGGTGCTGGTTTTGCTGCTTTGACGCGTGCCACCACGGTCCGTCCATCTGCCTGCGTCCACCCTGGGGTCTAAATGCGCGCTGCCTTGCAGCAAAGATGATGAACAACGTCGACGCCTTCCTCGCGCGCCTCAAGGTGGGGCTGCTCCCAGCCACGTGCACCGCCCTCCCGCCAGCAGCAGCGGCAGGAGTTCAGCGCCAGCTCACCTGCCGCACTTCTGTCCTCAAACCGCCCCTCCCCTGCAGGGCTTCAAGCCCACCATCGACGCGGGCGAGGTGCCCCAGAAGAACGTGGATGCCTGCCGCTCCTACCTGGAGCTGCCCCACTTCAACAAGGAGGCGATGAGCAACAAGTCCAAGGCGGCGGCAGGGCTGTGCAGCTGGGCCATCAACATCGTGCGCTACTACGACGTGTGGAGCACTGTGGAGCCCAAGCGGCAGGAGCTGGCGCAGGGTGGGCTGGGGCAGCGACAGCGGCCACCTGGCTGCTGCCTGACCGGCCTCATGTCTGCCCGACTGGCGTGCGATGCATCGAGTCGGAGTGGGGTGTCTTTGGCTGGCGCACACGTATGCCTGCACCGCCGCTCCTGTGTGCCCACCCACCCGTGCAGCCAACGCCAAGCTGGTAGAAGCCAACGAGAAGCTGGTGGCGGTGAGGGCCAAGGTGGAGGCGCTGAATGCGCAGCTGCAGGCGCTGGAGCAGCAGTACGCGGCGGCGGCGGCCGAGCAGGACGCCGCTTTGGCGCAGAGCGAGGCCTGCCAGCGCAAGTTGGACCTGGCCAACCGCCTCATCACCGCGCTGGCCTCGGGTGCGGTGGAAAGGCTGCGTCGGCGCCTGCTGCTCTGTTTCTCATGCTGCACTGCTTCCAAGCCTGCCTGCTGGCGTTCAGAGGGCATCAAAGTGATTGACCTTCTCTCCCCTTCTCTGCACGTTTTGTGGCAGAGGGCGGGCGGTGGGCGTCCACGGTGGAGCAGCTGCGCGGCGATTATCGTGTGCTGACAGGTAGGACAGGGCTGGAAGTGGGGTGGACTGGCGGCATGCTGCTCCGTGGCAGGTGTGCCTGCACCTAGCTGGCATGGCGCCTGCCCGGCCGCTGTCCTCGCAGGCGACATGCTGCTGGCGGCCGCCTTCATCACCTATGCGGGGCCTTTCTCCAGCAAGTTCAGGTCTGGTGGTGCTGCTGCTGTGTTTGGCCTGGATGCCGCTGGCCTGGGCAGCTGCAAACAACCCATAGCGATGCCGCTGCCGCCGACTCTGCTGTTTCGAATGCCCGGATGCGCTCTTGCGTATAGGGAGCTGCTGGTGGCGGACTGGCTCAAGTTCTTGCACGAGCGTGGCGTGCCCATGAGCCCCGGCCTGTCCGACCCGCTCAAGCGCCTGGTGGACGACGCGATGGTGGCAGGCTGGGTGAGGGAGGGCCTCCCCGCCGACCCCACCTCCGTGCAGAACGGCGCCATCCTCACCAACTCGGGTGGGCTGGTGGCGGTGGTGGGCAGCCCGCTGCTGAGGGGCCGCTTGCTGTTGGGACTCGTTGCTGCGACCACGGCATGCACAGCATACCAGGTGCTCGGTTACCAACCTTCCGCTGCTCTGCGCCATGCACTGCCCCGCAGAGCGCTGGCCGCTGATGCTGGACCCCCAGCTCCAGGGCGTGGCCTGGGTCAAGGAGCGGCTGGCCAAGCAGGGCCTGGTGTGCCTGCGCATGGGCGCGCCAGACATGCTGCGAGCCATGGAGCGAGCCATCAGCGAGGTGAGCCCAAGCCTCGCTTTGGAGGCGACAGTCGGAGCGGGGCTGAGCGCATGCAGCACATGCAGGCGAGCGGGCGACTCGTGGGCCTGATGCCGCGTGCCTGCAGGGCCAGACGGTGCTGTTTGAGAACATCGGCGAGAGCATCGATGCGGTGCTCACGCCAGTCATCACCCGCGCCACCTTCAAGAAGGCAAGCCATACGGTGCCTGCATGCTGAACACCACCCGCAGTGCAGCCTTGTTTTAACTGAACTTGCTCACATCCAACTGCAGGGCCGTGCGCTCTATCTGAAGCTGGGAGATAAGGTGGGTGTTGCTGCCGCTGCCGCCGCCACTGCTGATGCCCATGTTGACCACTGTGGCTGGTGCTGGTGCATTCAATCTCTCATGACTGGAGGCCTGCATCTGCCGTGTGTGGGGTGCAGGAGGTTGAGTACAACAAGGCCTTCCGCTGCATCCTGCACACCAAGCTCAGCAACCCGCACTATGCGCCTGAGGTCCAGGCGAGTGGACCAGGAAACTCCGTGGCAGCGGCCCCGGTGCTGTCGTCTTGCGCTCGCTGCTTGCCGGCTCGTCTGAAGCGGAACGGCCAATCCTGGGCGCCGGCCTGATTCACTGCCGTGCACGTGCTGGCCCCTGGCTGCAGGCCGAGACGACGCTGATCAACTTCACCGTGACGGAGGGCGGGTTGGAGGACCAGCTGCTGGCGCTGGTGGTGAACAAGGAGCGTGCGGACCTGGAGGAGGCCAAGAGCCAGCTGATCGTGCAGAACAGCGAGTTTGTGATCAAGCTGCAGCAGCTGGAGGACGGGCTGCTGGAGAAGCTGAGCACCGCGCAGGGCGACCTCACCGAAAACGGTGGGTGGTGGCGGGCTGGTGGTGGAAGGCAACTGGTGCCAGCAGCAGCGCAGCAGGCCTGCCCATGCCTGGAGTGGAGAGATGTCAATGTGCTGAGTAAGCGTGCATCTATGCCTGCCTGGCGCCCTGCATCTCTCCTGCAGAGGCGCTCATCGTGCAGCTGGAGGAGTCCAAGGCTCTGGCAGACGAGATCTCGGAGAAGGTGGGAGGGGGGCCGCGGCCTGGGTGCACCGCGCGCATGGTGCCTGCTCGCCTCCCTCGCCGCTCTTCTGGTTGCGCGGAGCAGCTGAGAGGCCATGGGTGGCATGCATGCCGGCCAGCCCACCTGGCTGCCCGTGCGCCCTCGCCTCTCTGCAGGTCGTGGAGGCGCGGGAGACCGAGATCCAGGTGAGTAGTGGCCGCTACTACCTGGGGTCGCTGGCAGCACCGCCCTCCAGAGCTGCCTTGTCCACGGCCAAGCTCATCCCCTCCAGTCCCCCACCCAAGCCCGGCTCTTTCCCGGCCCTGCTCCTGCTCCGCAGATCAACGAGGCTCGCAACGTGTACCGCGGCGTGGCGTCTCGCGGCAGCATGCTCTTCTTCATGCTCAACTCGTTGGGGAGGATGCATGCCTTCTACCAGTACAGCCTGCAGGCCTTTGTGGTGAGCCCCAGGGCGGGATGCACCGGGACGGAGGATGCAGACTGGCCTCCCTGCCTCCCATCCCACCTGCTGGGGCTGAGTGCAAGGTGACGCCGAGCATCACCATGGCAGCTGCTTGCCAATCTCCACGTGTCTGTTGCCTGGCTGCCGCAGGACGTGTTTGAGCGTGGCATCGATGCGGCCCCAGGCGGCCGGCGCAAGGCGGTGCTTGCCGCCAGCGCGCAGCAGCACCACGTGACGCTGGCCGACCTGGCTCGCCGCCAGACGCAGCAGCCCGGCAACTTTGATGCGGTGATGGAGCTGGCGAGGCGCAGCACGATGGGCGGCGGCCGCGGGGAGCGCGGCATCAGCCTGCAGGGCAGCCGGCTGGAGCTGCCGCAGAACGAGTCCAGCACCGGCAGCGCGCGCCAGTCTGTGGTGGGCGAGTCCACACTGAAGCACGCCCGCGAGCGCCTCACACACATGGGTCAGAGCTGCCCCCGCCGCACCACCCACCAGCACCACCACGGCGGGCGGGGCTCTGTGCTGGGAGGCGCCCTCGAGGACGAGCCCGCCGAGCTGACCCCCGAGCAGCTGGAGGCGCGGCTGGAGGCGCTGCTGCAGGCCTGCACCTACACCGTGTTCAGCTACACGCAGCGGGGCCTGTTTGACCGAGACAAGCTCACCTTCACCTCCCTGCTCACAACCCAGATCCTGCTCAAGGTGCGGTGGTGGCGCGGTACGGGAGTGTGGGCACCCTCCTGCCTTTGTGCTGCCCCTTGGCACATGTGCATCGCCTGCCAGGGAGGGTGCTGCTGGCGACCCCTCGATCTGCCTCCTGCCGCTGCCGCCGCCGCCGCTGCTGCTGCTGCGTGCCGTGCAGAACGGCACCATCGACGGCAAGGAGCTGGAGCACCTATGCCGCTGGCCGCGCGCCGCCACGCCGCCGCCCATGAGCGAGGAGCTGTCTCAGTGGATGAGCGAGGGGCAGTGGGCGGCGCTGGCGCCGCTGGCGCAGCAGCTGCCCGCCTTTGGGGGCCTGCTCAAGGATCTGGAGAAGAATGGCGAGGAGTGGGAGAAGTGGGCGGCGGGGGATGCGCCCGAGAGCGTGCCCATGCCAGGTGTGGGGGTGCTGCCTGCTCCAGCCTGGACCATGGATGCTGCACATTGTGCTGCCCTGCATCCTATCCTTAGCCCCGCCCCACCCCAAACACATATGATACGTACTCCCCCCCCCCCCACCACTGCCTGCAGGCGAGTGGTGCAAGCTCAGCGACTTCCGCCGCCTGCTGGTCCTGCGCGCCCTCAAGCCGGACCGCCTGCCCGCCGCGCTGGGCGCGCTGTGCGAGCGCGCCATGGGCGCCGCCTACGTCAACCAGGAGCCCTTCTCCGCAAGGGCGCTGCTGGCGGAGAGCACCCACGCCACACCCATCTTCTTCATCCTCTTCCCGGGCTACAGCCCGGGGGCGCGGATCGAGGCGTACGCCCGCACAGGTGCGCCGTGCGATGCCCTCGGTACCTTGACCACGGTACCTTGCCCTCGGCCCCGCCGTGCCCTCGGTACCTTCACAGAATGCCAGCGGCATGGTGGCCTCTGTCCCTGCCTGCTCCCCTCTGATGAGCCCAGCTCACCTCCTGCCCTGCCTCTACCTCACAGCGCTGCCTCGCACACTCCTGCACACACACACACATGCACTCCTCCCACGCAGTGGGCCACACCTCTGAGCGCGGCAACTTCACCCTCATCTCTCTGGGCCAGGGGCAGGAGGGGCCCGCGGAGCGCGCACTGGACAAGTGCATGAGGGAGGTGGGCTGGTGCTGCCTGCGCCTCGAGTGGTGGTACTGCCATGAGTGGTGGTATTGCCTAAGGCTTCGCATGTTTGTGTCTATCTTTGTGTGAGGGTGAGAGGGGCCAGCACTGGCACTGCCAGACTGGCGCTGCCGTCTCCAGCTGCCCCCGCCCAGCCCACCCCGCCCGCTCCCCCTCCTGCGCTGCCTGCAGGGCGGCTGGGTGTTCCTGGAGAACACGCACCTCATGGCCTCCTGGATCCCCACCCTGGAGCGCAAGCTGGAGGCGGCCGCCGACACCGCCCACTCAGACTTCCGCTGCTTCTTCTCGGCGGAGCCCATCGCCGGAGCGCCCCACGCCGCCATCCTGCCAGAGAGCCTGCTGCAGGCGCGCGCGGGGGGTGGGGTGGGGGGTGTCGGCTGCGTTGCCGGGGCCGCCCAACACCTCCCACGATGCCTGCCTGCACCAGCCGGGCAGCCCCGCCGCCCCGCCACGTGGCAGGCCATGCATGGAGCAGCTGTGCCCCCTGCCCTCCCTCTCCTCTCCCACCGGCCCACATTCACGACACACCACACCCCAACCGCTTCCCAGTCCTCTGGCCCCACAATCGCCCGCCCCTCCCTGCTCCCCCGCCTGCTCCCCACCGCCGCGCCGCAGACCGCCATCCGCGTCAGTAACGAGCCGCCGTCCGACATCCGGTCCAACATGCGCCGCGCCTGGGCCGCCTTCCCGCCCGACTTCTTCCTCCGCGCCTCCACCGAGCCCAAGCGCGCCGCCCTGCGCTCCATCATCTTCGGCCTCTGCTTCTTCCACTCCGTGCTGCTGGGCCGCAAGAAGTTTGGCACAGGTGGGCGGGCAGCCGAGCTGCACGGGCTCCCTGTGCGTGCATCTGCCAGCGCCCTGGGTGTCTGGGCCCCCCAAGGAGCCTGCCACACACAGCCCGGGCGGCCCGCGCCGCGCCCCGCAGGCATCGGGTCTGCCGGCGGCGGCGGCGGGCTGGGCTACTGCCGCGCCTACTCCTTCAACACGGGCGACCTGGCCACGTGCGGCGACGTCATCCTCAACTACGTGGAGGGCAAGGCGACGGTACCCTGGCAGGACCTGCGGTACCTGCTGGGGGACGTGTTCTACGGTGCGCCTGCTGCCGCTCCCTCCCTTAGTGCCTGGGCCCTGCTGGACCTGCTAGCTCGGCAGTGCGGCGGGGGTGGGGAGGTGATGCTCCCCCTGCCGGGCTGGCCACTGCTCAACACATACACACACATGCCTGCCTGCCTCCCACCCCCATCTCCCGTGCCTCCCCGCCTCCCGCAACTCAACTCAACTCAACCCACGCTTGCGGCAACCCCTGCCCACCTGCCCACCACCCGCAGGCGGCCACGTTGTGGACGACTACGATCGCCGCCTGCTCAACACATACCTGCAGAAGCTGTTCACTCAGGAGCTGCTGCCGGTGGGGCCTGGTGCGAGCGATGGCCATCAGGCTGCCATGGACGGCGCGGCCACCGACCAGCCCGCCGACGGCGCCGGCCAGCCGCCGCTGGAGCTGGCCCCGGGCTGGCGGCCGCCGCCTGCTGTGGACTACGAGTCGATGACGCAGTACATCGAGACGTCCTGCCCGGCAGACTCCCCCGCGCTCTACGCCATGCACGGCAACACCCAGCTGTCGCTGCTCAACAGCCAGACCGAGGCGCTGTTCCAGACGATCCTGGATGTGGGGGGGCTGGGGGCCGCGGCCTCCGCCGCCGCGGCCGCCGCCGCGGCCGGCGGCGCAGCGGCCGGCGGCGAGGCCGCGGTGCGCGCCAGCCTGGCAGACCTGCTGGGGCGGCTGCCTGCGCCGCTGGGGCTGGTGGACATCGAGGCGAGGGTGAAGGAGAAGACGCCGTTTGTGGTGGTGGCGCTGCAGGCGAGCCCCGGGGCCGCCACGGGCGCCTGGCGGCGGTCGCCTGGCGGTGGCAGGAGCAGGCAGTCACAATCCTGCTGCCCACGCTGGGCGGGACCTGCGGGCCTCAGCCTCGGTGCCTGCCCTGCTCGTCTCAGCCCCGCTGCCCCCCCCCCCCCCCCATGCATGCACTATGCCCTGCCCGTGCGCAGGAGGCGGAGCGCATGAACGGGCTGCTGGGCGAGATGCGTCGCAGCCTGGAGGAGCTGCAGCTGGGGCTGGACGGCGCGCTCAACATGAGCCCCGCCATGGAGCAGCTGGGGGCGGCGCTGGGGGCGGGGCGCGTGCCGCCGTCCTGGATGGCCTGCATGAGCACACGGGTGCAGGTGGGTGGGGGGCCCTAGGGGCCCGCCTTGCATGGGAGCAGCCTGGCAGCGCAGTGGCACGGCCGGCTGGGCTGGGCTGCGTTTTCAGTGGAGGGATCTCTCCGCTTGAAGCACACCAGACGCCCGAAGCCAGCGGAGGCCGGGAGCCCCTGCTGGAGAGCCCTGCTGGAGAGCCCTGCCGGAGGGCCCTGCTGGAGAGCCCTGCTTGCCTTGCCATGCCCCCACCCACCGCCGCCCTCCCTGGCCGCAGGAGGTGTATGCGCTGCCGGCCTGGTACGCCGACGTGCTGCAGCGCCACGCCCAGCTGGTGGGCTGGACCGGCGGCGCCGTCTCCCCGCCGCGCTCCATCTGGTTGCCCGGCCTGTTCAACCCCAAGGCCTGCCTGACGGCGGTGATGCAGCAGTTCGCGCGCCAGCGCCGCCTGCCACTAGACGACGTTCGCTTTGTGGTGGAGGTGACCGGCAAGCAGCCCGAGGCGCTGTCCGAGGCGGCCCCAGACGGCGGCATGTACATCCACGGCCTGACGCTGGAGGGGGCCCGCTGGGACGCCCAGGACGACTGCCTGCGCGACTCGCTGCCCAACCAGCTGCGCCAGGCGCTGCCCGTGCTGCTGGTGCGCCCGCTGACGGCGCAGGCGCACCAGGCGGCGCTGGCCGCGGGCAACCTCTACCTGTGCCCCGTCTACGCCAACGGCCAGCGCGCAAACGTGAGGGGCTGCCGCCGCTGCCGCGTGCCGCTGGTGCTGGGCTGCCGCCGGTGGTGGCACCACCGCTGAGCAATAGTCGGGCCTCTCCGGCGGGCTGCTGAGCCAGCTCTCTCCCTCCCTGCCTCCTCCCGTCCTGGCCTCTCCCCTCGCGCCCTCTGCAGGTCTACTCCCCCCTGGTCAGCACCTTCACGCTGAAGACGCGGGAGCCGCCCAGCAAGTGGGTGCTGGCATCCACCACGCTGCTGCTGCAGGATGAGCTGGCGTGAGCTCAGCAGCAGCACACTCTCATGCATGGATGGCTTGTAACCCAACCGACAGGGCAGCACAGGGTTGGGGGAAAGGGGGAATGATGGCCGGAGAAAGAGGGCGCTAGGCGGAGGTCACAGGTGGCGGCGAGCGGCAAGGCTGATGTGGCGGGGGTGGGATGGAAGCTTCCTCCTAGGAGCTCCTGCATTTCGCTTTGCGCTCAGGATTCACAAACTCTCCTCCGTAGCACCAGCCCTTCCCTGCGGCGCATGCATCTCGTGTAGCTCGAGTCCTCTCCCCTGCTACTGCTCCCTGGCCCGCGGCTGACCGCAGCGACACATATAGAAGGAGATGCCGGCCATGCTGGCGCCCGGCGGCTCTGCCAGGCACAGCCTTCTGCCGGGCGGAAGCCTGCGCCAGCCGGCAGCAGTGCTGAGGACTGGGCACGGCAAGCGGTCACTGGTGGTGCGTGTGGTCGGCCGGTACGCGCCAGGCAACACCGGCGCCCCGCCGCCGCAGCAGCAGCAGGCGGCGCCGCCACCCCGTCCACAGCAGCAGCCTGGCTACCAGCAGCAGTTCCAGCAGCCCGCTCAGCAGCAGCAGCCCCCCGCGCGGCAGGCGGCCGGGCAGCCGCGTGCGGCGGTGGCTCCCCGCCGCCGCATCGGCGGCGCGGCGCGCGCCGGGCAGCCGCAGCAGGCCGCCACGCCCGCGGGCGGCCGCATGCGGCAGCTGGCGGCGGCCGTAGTGGCACCGCGGGCCCAGCAGCAGCAGGTGGAGGAGGAAGCGGTGCGCACCAGCGTGCAGCGGTCGGCCGAGGAGGCGCCAGGCGAGACGGTGCTGCCTCGCTCGCTCCTCATGGACAAAGAGATCATCACCAGGTGTGGTGGGGCTGCTGCTGGGGTGGTGGGGGTGGTGGGGCGCTGCGGGCAGCCGAGGGCCTCAGTCGGCACGGCCTGGGGGCCGGACCCGGGACAGCGCAGGTGCAGCGCACAGCGCAGCGCACAGCGCAGCTATTCGCCGCGGCCGGGGTGCAGGCTGTGGGGGTGCTTGCCGCGCCCAGCGCCTGCGGCGCTGAACAGGCGCTCGAGCTGCCGCCCCCCTGGGCCCCCTGCCCCCTTGGCCCCCCCTGCAGGACGTCTGGCAACCGGCTGGGGTATGTGAACGACATGTATGTGGACCCAGTCAGCCTGGCCGTCGCCTCCCTGTACCTGCGCCAGTCAGCCACCAGCCTGGCCGCCGCCAACACGTGTGCGTGTGCGCGGGGCGCCGCCGCCTCGCCGCCGCCGCGTGCCTGGCGCCGCTGCGGATGCTGTTGCTGCTGCCGCTGCCGGGAGGCTGCGCAGGCCGCGGGCGGGCAGCTTGGCGTGGGTGGTGCACTCGCCGTTCCCGACCGGGCACACACACACACACACACACACACACACACACACACTCCCTCCCTCCCTCCCTCCCGCGCAGGCCACGTGATGCTGGCCAGCCTGCGCCAGATCAGCGACGTCATCCTGGTGCACGACGACAACGTTCTGATGGACCCGCCCGCGGACGACACAGTGGGGTACTGCCGCATGGTGGGGGCGGCGGTGGTGACGCAGGCGGGGCGCGAGCTGGGGCGCGTCAGGTGAGGGGTGGGGGGGCAGGGAGGGGGGGCGAGGGCTGGTGGCGGGCAGCAGGCGGCAGGCCCGTGCGCGGCGCCAGCTGCGGCCGCGGCCGCAGCTGCACGCCCTCCCCGGCCCCTTCCTCGCCCAGCCCCGCGCTGCACGAGCGCGCCGACCATGCCACACGCGCTCCTCCCCATGCCGATGATGCGCTGCGCCCCCTCAACCCCCACCCCCCACCCCCCACCCCAGGGACTTCCTGTTTGACCCCGACAACGGCGCCATCTCCACCATCAAGTACGACAGGCTGGGCATGCCTGTACTGCCGCAGGCGCTGTTCAGGTGGGGGGCGGGTGCCCGGGCGGCGCGCGCCTGCCGTGCGCGGCTGTGTGTGTGTGCGTGTGTCTGCGTGTGTGTGTGGCGGGGCCCCTGCCTGGGACGCCGGCGGCTGCGGGGCGGCCCGCGGGGCATGCGGCCGGCCTCGCTGCGCTCCGCTGCCTGGCAGCTGGCAGCAGATGGCCCTCTGTCCTGTCCTGAGCGGCGCTCCTGCCCCTCCCGGCCTGCCCTCCTGGCCTCCCCTCCTGGCCTGCCTGCCCGCCTGCAGCTGCTACAGCATCAGCTGGGAGGAGGTGGTGGCCCTGGGTCCCACCAAGCTCATCGTCAGAACGTGGGTCGGACCCGCTGGCGCTGCGCAGCGCTCGGCCGCCTGCCGCAGCATGCCGCAGCCTGCGCCTGCGCCCGTGCCGCCGCCTCGCTCCGCCTCTCCCGCGGGTCACGACGCCCAGCCCCATGCCCCTCATCACCCGCCTCCCCCCCATCCCCTCCCCTGCAAGCAGCGGCGTCGAGACGCGGGCCATCAAGGAGAACGACGGCATCGCGGATGAGGGCATCGCGCTGCTGCTGGATGTGATCCTGGGGCCCGCGGCGGGCAAGCAGGAGGCGGCGGGCGGCGGCGACGGCAGCGGCGGCGCTGCGGCGCCCGCTGGCGGCGCCGGCGTGAGCGGCATGTCTGCTGAAGAGGAGCTCCGCTGGAGGTGCGCTTTCTTCCTGCTTCCTTCCTGTTTCTTTCTTTTTGGGGGGCTGTGGGGGATCGGGCTCCGGGTGGCTGCTTGCGCTCCACCGCTGGCGGCGGCGCGGCCTGCCCTGCCCGCGCACTCTGCACCTTTGGTCGGGTGGTGTGCGCGCCTGCCTACCCTGCCCAGGCCCCGCCCTGCCTTCTGGTGGCCCTGCAGGAGCTCTCCTGAGTACAGGGCCTGGTACGAGGAGTTTGCGGGCAGCTGGGAGGCCAGCTACGGCAAGCGCATGCCTCCGCCTGTGGATGCCAATGCCCGGGCGCCGGTGGCGCAGCAGCAAGCGCCGCCGCCACCGCTGGCGCCGCGGGCGCTGCCGCCGCCGCAAAGCACGCCGTATGCGCAGGCGGTGCAGCAGCAGCAGCCAGCGGGGCAGCAGCAGCAGCAGTCGTACCAGCAGCAGCTGTTCCAGCAGCAGCGGCAGGCGGTGCCCGGCGGCGGCGGCGGCGGCGGCGGCGGCGGGGGGGTGGCCCGCCGCCGCGCCGCGGCGCAGCAGCAGCAGTATGCGCCCCCACCGCAGCAGACCCAGCAGCCGCAGGGCCCTCCCCAGGGCATGCAGTACGGTCAGCAGTACCAGCAGCAGCCTGGCGCTGCAAGGGCCCAGCAGTCGCCGCCGCCGCCGCAGCAGCAGCAGCAGCAGCAGCCGCGGGGCCCACCCAGGCAGGCCCAGCAGCCGCAGGCGCCTGCCCGTGCACCCGCCCAGCAGCCGCTGCCTCCCCAGAGCGGCATCCCAATCATCGACCGCACCCCGCCACCGCCCCACCGCCGACGGGACGCCGACGGAAACTACGGCGCCGCTCCCAGGCAGCAGGCGACTGGAGCCCGCCA